CTACATAAATTACGTTTGTCCAGGTCTTGTTGCACAGTAATACTGTCTGAGTGTGGCACAACAGCCGTAATTGTTGCAGAATAAATTTATATTTATTTTTTCCTTCCCCTTAATGATTAATAAATGTTAGGTTGGCATAGAAAAGTTGTATCATAGTGGATAAGTAGACCTGCATTATTGCGAGTTCGACATTTCTATAAGCTTCTAGTTCGAAAAAGAAGTTTATTAGACAAAAATTAAAGACCAAAGAAATAGATAGTGTTTGGGATAATTATTTGGTAACATTTGTTTCCAATATGCTAGATGCGAATGCACAAGAAAAACGAGAGAAATATGTAATTTTTGCTGTGTTATCTCTTGTACAGATGAGTATTGTATTACTTAAGAACGTGTATAAATAGTGATAAGACGATTTGAGAGATTTCATGCTATTTTACTTTGCAGCAATTTTTTCTTCTTGTAACTTTTATTAAGTGTTCAAAATGGCGAGTATTGATCGCCAATTCACATGGCATGGGGCTTGGGCGATAAATAAGAGGTGAATAATATTGGCATTGACTGCTTGAGATGCCCCTCTTACATATATATTATTATTTCTTTTAACAATTCTCAAAAAGTTGATGAATTAGATGAAGAAGAAGATATTGAATTGGAGTCCAATAAATTGTTAGATAAGATTTAATCTCATATGCTATCTAAAATATGTAATTATGATTTCGAAACTTATCTTATTGTTGAAAACTTTGAAATAAATATATAAAGTTCATATAAATCTATTTTAGAAGTTTGGTAAATATTATTTTAATTATTAAATGATTTTTAAATTGATTAAAATTTTAAAATAATCTAAAATAAGAAAAAACTTTTTAAAGCTTTTTTACGCATACGATGCGCCTAGGCTCACCTTGTCCAAAGCTTAAACTCCATGCATAGTTACGTATTATGCTTTTTAAAACACGACTTTTATCAACGTGATGTAGCGAAAAAAAAGAATTCAAGTGAAAACCTTAAGAACAATCAATTTGAAATCCACCAAATAGTAAAGAAAATAAACTCACGAATTTATTAATGAAAAGATAATAAAAAAAAGAGTTAAGCCCTTATTTATAAGGATTTACATGAAAACGTAGTTTAGAACAACTAAAAATAATGAAAAAGAAGTTAAATCAAACTAGAATTGTTAAAAAACGAATTGATAAAAATAGCGCTAAAACTTTAAAAATCAGTCTTCTAGGCCTAAACGAACTTGAACGGTCAAAATTCAACGTACGTCACAGCAAGTGTGTATTGTTCCCCTCGTCATTCTCCTTTCAAAATGGTTTTATGGGATCGATTCGGAATCAAGATGATTTATTTCTACTAGTACTTTTTTTCCAATATACCCCTTATATCCTACATCACAATGACACTAGTTGATTGAAACGCTTTACTAGTAGAGGACTCGACAAAGGTACAACCCTACCCAATTGTCCAAGGGCCTTTTAGCTACCCTTGTATTAAAATCATTTTCATTTCATATCCAAGCCAACCTTCTTTTGTCAACATACATCCAATGGCATAGAGCAATATGTTAGTATTAACACTGAACTGCTCACTCTACTTACTTCCAAATTCCTTGCGTCAACATTCTTTATTGCAAGTTCGATGTTCTCCATAAATTCGCAGTCGAAAAAATAAATGCTATTTTGACAAAACCCTATTTTTTTATTTTTTCTTTGTAGCATTTAGTGGAAACACATAGTAGACATGCTTAAAATATTATATAAAGTAGAACTGTAGAATAAAGATTTAAGTGTAAAGTTGCCCCCATTTTTTCAAAAATTCATTTTCAACTATACATCTTCCAATAAAATAATTTTACATGTAAATTCAAAACTTTTCTTATGTTTTAACCACATTCTCCAACAAAACGCTTATTTCAAAATACATTTTGACCTAAAAATGAAGCTCAAACGAAGGATAAATAAATAAAAACACTTATATTACGTATCTTTGTCGAGTTCACTTCTATTTACTTCACAATAAATTGATTGTCGATATATGTAGATTGCTTTCTTGGAGACCGAGTCATTGTGCCAAACTTTATTCAATAAGATATATATAGAAAAGAGGATATTGCGATACCAATACTCGTATAATTGAAGCCAATAAGCGAAAGACAGGATGAAATGGCAACTCGATGAAGTTAAGGTTAACAATGTCTCTTAATGGATTTGAAGGGTCATTATGTGGAAAGATTGAAGTTAGCCAGGTAAAGATGAAAAAAGTATAACTAAAAGATTTGTGTGCATGTATTAAAATGTAAAATACACTCGAATCTAACAGCTTTGAGAATATACACCAGAAAAAAAAAATTAAAATTAAAAGTTATAGAGAGATTAGGATCAGATTTAGTGGATCGAATGTGCTCCTTTTGAACCACAAATCTGTCTCTTCGATTGCATGAGACGACTATGAGTTATCCAATTCAATGAATTGATAGGCATTCTTTAATTAGTCTGAGTTAGTTAAGTTACATTATTAGAGGAAAAAGAATAATTTTATATTAGCTAATCTATATGGATACAACGTGGTTAAATTGTATTACGACTAGAGGTCTAAAACTCACTAGGTGAGAGTTTGAGATAGTTTTCAATTTTTAATCGATCAATCCATCTTTGAACTCGAATTTAAGAATTAAACTAGTTGTGCATCCATTGTGTACAACTAGTTTGACAACGTTTGATGTAACAAAATCGAGATTATTGATTGGTTCAAATGTGTTGAAATTAGTGACAATATTGTACATCACATCATGGAATGTAAACCAAGCTGTCAACTAAAACTGTATGTGTAGCAAAACTAAAAATTTAATAGGGAACAATTAAAAAATATATCAAAAAAGTTTGTCAATTTTATACTTTTTTAATGTTTTTAATTTTCAAAATACCTTTTTTTTATTTTAATTTTTTAAAAATAAATTTTGTAATTTAGTGCTTTAAATTTTAGAAAACTATATTACACATCTTTCACTACCTTGCTTTCAAGACCAGTGTTGGTTATCACAACCATCATCGACATCACTAGTATAAAGTGTATTGTACACATTTTGTTGTCTTTTTTCACTGTTCTCGCTTAAAACATTTATTGTTACACCACCGTCATCTTCGTCACTATTGTCATCAGCACCACATGTAACATACTATGTTACAACTACAGCGATCTCCACAACCACATTCTCCAGATCTACATCGCACTCAATCTTTGGTCAAACTCCACTACGCCCATAATATTCGATCAATTCCATCTCCATCATCACCATTTTCATGTCAAAAGTACCACCATCTTCAATCACCATACATGCACTTCAATCGTCAAAATTCCAACAAAAAAAAAATAATAATAATAATAAAATTGTGAAATCGTTTCACAATCATCATGCCATCATAACTATAAATTACCACTATTGATACTAAACTTGAAATGCTTGAACGTTAGCTCAAATAGCAGCAAGAAATGCAACCGACTCATGACGAACATGGGATTTCCTAGCTGGATTTCGACCGCAATAGTGACATCGACATGGTGGTGGTGCCTAAGTTGAGATCGTGATGAGGTTGTCATTATGATAGCACTGGTTGTGGTAGTTCTTGGTGGAGGCGTCTATGATTGATGGTCATCGACGGATGACGGTAGTGATTTTGGTGGTGGTGGTGGAGGAGAATGTTATGTTTACATTGCGATGAGAATTTGATTTGGGCATTGGTATAGGGGTTTGAATTGATAAATTGATAAGCAAAATCAGTATTTTGAGAATAAGAAAAGAGGAGTTAAATTTAGAACTTCAATACTAATCAGGGTAATTACGTAATTTCCCCTAATTTATATATTTCATGATTAGTTCTCTCAAGACACGTAATTTTTTTTATTTTTTATTAATACGGACAAGCTATGTATCCAAATGCCGAACCATTCACGGGTTATGCTATTTTGAGCTTGACAATTTGACTTGACCAGTACAGATAGTTATTGACTAAGTTATGTAATCTGAATGTCACCACCGCATGCAGATAAGTGTGACAATAATTATGATTGACTTTTTAGATTTTGGGGAACCTACAAAAAGAAAAAGGGGGCAAAAAATAGGAAAAAAGGTTCATAGGTAATTTCTAATCTTTCATTGTTGTGGGGTAACTGCAATTCAATTGATTATACTTGGGGAACTAAATTTAGAGCTTGTTTCAGAGTAATTTTGAGAATTGATTTTTTGATCGTTAGGAGAAAAGTGAGGTCTACTTGTGAGAGAAGAAGTTAAATCTGACGACTGAAATAGTGAAATAACGGTCAAAAATCAATTTTTTGGACCAAAAAATCACTCCCAAATAGGCTAAGTCAACTTTGTTAGAGTTAATTGTTTAAATGGTCACTGAAATTAGGTTTACGTTTTTTATTGATTATTAAATTTTAAAATATCAAGTTTTGGTCATTAAACTTAGATCCATGTCTTTGATTACTCATTGAAATTTAAGAATAAGTAAATTATACCCCTGTTTGATTTCCATTTTTTGAAAATAAATACATTTTTAAACAGTATTTTGACATTCTTTCAATCACACATTCTCCTATAAAATAATATTACACTTAAAAAAAATTTCTTATTTTTTAATCACATATTTTTCATTAATATATTATTCAAAAATTCATTCTTATCACAAGAATAGGGCTGCATAGCTTCTCGAGTGAAAAAAAAAAAAAAACAATCATATAGTCATATTTTAATTATTGGGTTTAGATAGGATTGCCTTTATTATATTAAAAAACTGTCATTATTATAGCAACCCAATTACACATTTAATAAATAATATTAAATTGTAATGAACAATATAATATGCTGACGAGATGAAGGTGGTGATGTTTTGGATGGGCAAATTGAGCAAAAGCTAACGATGTAGTGCGCATATTCAGATCGCACAACCAACAAAGAATAGGGTTCGTTAATTGCTTGTTTGTTTGTGAAGAAACTGTGGCCAAACACTCCATTCAATAAATATATCGATTTCAATCGACTAGCTTACGATAACACACGCTACAAATTATAACATCTTGTCACCACCCTTCCCCACTACATATAATTTATGTGCAACGCTTGTATTTCTTTATGAGAATTCAATTTAAATATAAATATTTCGAAAAAGATGTTTGCGTTAACAATCATATTCATATTCGATTCTTCTTCTTCTTCGTTGCGACCTACTACGCATGGAGAAAGATGGGTTCTTGACCAGTGAAATCTACTTTCAGTTTCTTCTGTGGAAACCTGCAAATTGAGAGTGAATTCTTATTCTTAAAGAGGGTTTTCTCCAGTATTATCAAAGGTTGATGTAACTTCGTTTGTTTTTTTTTTTTTTTTTATTATTAATACATGTTTTATCAGTTTATACACATACGCGTAGAATGAGTCAATTCTTACTCCTTTTTGTTTGTTTGATTGTTTGTTCATGTGAGTATACTTATGATTGACTATGTATCAAGAATCAGTTGCTCGGTGTCTACTAGCCCAAAAACAAGCGATTTAGGCAGTTTGATTGGTTATTTTTTATTTGCATAATAGAGAATGGTGTTTTTGAAAACAAGAGTTCTTGGGAACTTTTTTCTCTATTGTCTGTTCACTGAAATAGGAGGGACATGAGTTTTAATAATAGTATTGAATGCTATTTGGGATTAGGAAATGATTGACCAGATCATTGATTGATTTGGATTGGTAATTTTGGGTAAGGTTTGATGAAATCAATTTCCTGCGTCCAGTGATGTGGCAAGAGAAGAACCATAAGTAAGGTCTTTTGTCACGTCGACGGTGGAAATATTTTCTCTTATCCACTGTGGGCAAAAGATCAGGCCTGAGGTTTGAAATGGATTAGATTTCTTCGTTGTGTGTTGGATTAGAGTTTTATTTTTAGGTTAATTTTTTATTTTTTTGTGAATCTATTGTCTTCATAAGCAGACGTCTAATGTATTATCATATCCCATGCATTTTTGGATGCTTTATCTTGTCAAATGACAGGACCTTTATTATTAGACATGGATTTCTTGTGTGAAGTGTTTTTTTTTTTTTCAATGCCAAAAATTAAAGACAATGCTACAGTGATAAACTCGGAAAGGCCTTTTTGTTCAAAACTCTAGTCCTATTGTTCAATGGTTGTCCCCTTCTTTTTTCTTAGTATTCAAGTTCAAGTTGTCATGTTTTCATAATAAATCAAAATGTATTTATTGTATGATTTATTTAATTATCAAATTCAGGTAGCAACTCATTGAGTTCTACTGACAAACAGTTATAACAGAATGAATTTCGCATCGACACAATTTGTTCCCTCAAGAAGGATGGGTATATGTGAGCCTCTGCCTCAAATAGGCATGTGGAGTGATTATAAAGAAAATAACTATCTAGACACATCTACACCAGCTATTTTGGAGGTCGACTCTAGATTTGACAATCAGGTGCAGTTTGTATTATTTATCATTTGCATGCATTGCCTTGTGTTCTTTGGACACATGTTAATCAACTTGTGTGTTATATATGTCCAGTCAGAGGATACTTCACATGGAATAGTAGAACCTTCCAATAAATATGATCAAGAAGTGAGTAAAACAAATGATAAGGTAAAGACAGTGTTACTTTTGTTGACTTTCACGTGGTTAGATATCGTATATTCTTATATCAACTGCTATTGTTTCTCTTTGTATAAACCTTTTCCTTTCTATTTACTGGTCCTTGAATAACACTTGCTATCCGTTCACATACTTTAACCATTTCGTGGTCAATTTTCATTGTTTTGAAGCAAGGCATATATCCTGAATCTAAGTTATTATAAGTTGGTGCAATCCATAAGCCTGCTTTGACAAGTTAATTTGTATTGAATTTGATATACAAGGCAAATGTCTATGTATTGGTACCTAAGAGCACTTATCAGTGATTCGACTAGTCTAAAGAATTGCAGGTGAATGATATATTCATATCAACATGAGATGTGCACTTCAGTGGCCACACACAGAGAGGTTTAGAAAATGTTAAAAGAGAATCTCACAAAGTTAACAATTAACTCTAGAACGTTCACACGCTGGAGCAGCTTCATGGCTGAAATATAGCAATTGATTCTGACATTAGGGAGTGCAGCTCTATTGCGGTGAAAGATTTTATGGTTGCCATTATGTGGCACTACAAGAACTTTTAACTTCTTACTGATCTTAGTGTGGAGTTTGTGAGTGAGTAATACTATGAATATCAATTTTCACCAATGCATATAATCCTCACTGGGATCCAATCTTTTAATGTTTTTTGAACTTTTGTTTGTCCTTCTGAAAAATTCAAAAGTTCACTTTTATATTTTGACCCTCGTTGTCAGCATTTAAAATGGTGAATAGTTGTAAAAAATTGTTGACAATGGGATTTGATTTGTAGCAACTGAGACGCCTAGCACAGAACCGCGAGGCTGCTCGCAAATGTCGTCTGCGGAAAAAGGTAGGGAGATCATTATAGTATATACCCATTTGTGAAATAGGATTTCTTATTGTTCTTTCTTTCTTGCTAGAAAAATATTTTGTTGTGTGACTTAAACTATAAATTGTCTCTATACTTTTTGCAGGCTTATGTTCAGCAATTAGAAAATAGTAAATTGAGACTTATGCAGCTAGAACAGGAGCTTGAACGAGCTCGACAACAGGTAAAGAAAGAATGTTGGATACTTTCGACATCATTGTTTTTCGACTTTTCTTTTCATTGCCTCGGTGATTGAGCAATATTTTTCAGTATCCATCTCGTTTTGTTCTTCAAAGGGAAAGACATCTAACACAAAAATGTTTTGCTGCAGGGATTGTATGTAGGTGGTGGATTAGATACTGGTCAGTTAGGCTATTCAAGAACGACAAACCCAGGTTTGTAGTTTTATCCGCCACCATTGCGCTAAATCGAACTGACCTGTTTGTACTGAAAGTTGTAATGACCTGTTGATTGCACATATTCAGAGCTAGATTTTTTGGGTAGTTTCATGCTAGTTGCATTTGGTTATCACATTCTGACTGGAAAATAATAATTAGTTTTGTATGGAGAGTCGATAAATTCATTAGAAGTTCGTTGTTGAGATGTGTACCCATAAATAGATTCTCTGTGTCTATTAGATTGTCTGATTGCGTAATGTTAATTCATATCTTGAAAATGAGAATACAAGCTAACGAATAGCTATACCAGATCAGTTTCATCTCCAAAAAATGTGGGCCATTTTCATAGAATAGGTTCTGTAATAAACAGTAAGAAAATTTCCTCCGTTTTGAAGTTATGTTCCAGTAAATGAACCAAAAGGTGAATTCTTTTTCTAAAAACTGCCTGCTGATATAACTTCTAATAGAAGGGACTGCATTTTATTTTGATTTAGTTTCATCATTTGACCTTCAAAAGTCTCTTTCGCTTTCGGGACACTTTAAGAAGTTCTCTTCAATTTCTCGTGCCTGCAATCAGCTTTGTTGTTGAACTCCAGGTATTGCTACTTTTGAAATGGCGTATGGACACTGGGTGGAAGAACAAAATAAGAAAACCGCTGATTTGAGGAATGCTTTGTGTTCTGACATTACAGATTTGGAATTGAGCAGTTTTGTTGACGATGGCATGAACCACTATTTTGATCTCTTTTTAATGAAAGAAACAGCTGCAAAGGCTGATGTATTCTACCTTATGTCTGGCATGTGGGAAACATCAGCTGAACATTTTTTATCGTGGATTGGGGGCTTTCGGCCATCAGAGCTTTTAAAGGTAATGCACACTTCTCTCCAGAGTCCAGATTCTGATGCACTCCTTTCTTTTTTCTGATGAAAATAGAGGCCAACAGGTTCTTAGAATCTGAATAGTTACTTAAGATAGAACTATATGATTCAAAAGGAAGTTGTCAAGATCCAAAAGTTCGTAGCTAGATGTATTGGCTCATTTCTTGTAAGTTTGTTTTCTGTTTTATCTTCTTTAAATGTATCAAGAACTGATTTGAAAGATTGAGTTGCTACGGCCTGGATTTCAACATGGATAAAACATTTTTTCTGATCTTCAGAAAACCAGTTCCTCATCTCGATCAGCATCCTCTTCTAATCTTGTTATTTTACACTAATCAGTTAGACAAGTTACTGTTAAATCCCCACCTTCATTGTTTCTCCCTTTCTTCTCTTTTTCCTTGTCATCAAAATCAACTTTTTCTTATCTATATCAGCTGGCTTCAACTAATGATGCCGTGTATATGCAAAAACCATAACAACTGTACCATGGATTACACGATCTCCATACTTTGTACAGTTGGTTAAATATTAAAAGATAAAGTTGTGTCTGCTCATTTTATGGGACTTTTGAAAATGATAATCAAATTGTACACTAAATGTTAGATCCACGATTCCCCATAACATTATACTTATCAACAGGTTCTCGAGCCACATCTTGGCCCCTTAACTGAGAAACAAAGTTTGGAGCTTTCTAACCTTAAACAATCATGTCAGCAAGCAGAAGATGCTTTGTCACAGGGATTGGAGAGACTCCATCAAATTCTCTCCGAGACTGTAGCCGATGGTCTACTGGGGGAAGGGAACTACCTCCCGCAGATCAATGCTGCATTGGAGAAATTAAAAGCTATGGTGAGGTTTGTGGGCCAGGTAATATACATTGATGCTACTTGATTTTCTGATTTATGTGTCATTTAGTGTGCTATCCTTTTTCTTGACATTCACATGGCCAGAACCAACATAACTGTGAATATTTATGTATATTATATCACGACATTCTGCTTCATGTAGTAGTCATCAAAAAAGTAGTCACAAATATTTTGACATTGGTAGATATTGTCATATTGAAAAGGGGCTATGGGTGTGGAAATAACCATCTCTAGTGAACTGATTACTTTTTCACTCATTAAGTGGCCTAATCGTGTAAGCTTAACCAAATTACCTTTATATGTTGGATTTAATGTAAAGGATTTATGTCCACAGAAACCTTAGCTTGTTTGAAAAGCCGTCTAAAATGAGCTTGACTTGGGAATTTTTTTTTTTCTAAACAACTGGCCCTCCTGGAAGCATTTGATACTTGGCCTTCCACTTTAATTTGTGGATCCTTTGCAATCCTCATTTTGGTAGAAACTTGGGGAATTTTTCTATCATATTGCACAAGTGTATGTACTCTGGGATGATGTGTATGTAATGGCTGATGTCTATAACTCTAAATCTAGGATGTCTATGCAAAGCTCACTACAATGGTTAAACATTTTTCATTTTTTGGTGTTCTGCAAACAGGCAGATCATCTTCGCAAAGAAACATTGCTACAGATTTCTCGGAACCTTAACAATCGGCAAGCAGCTCAGGGCCTCCTTGCTCTAGGGGAGTATTTTCAGCGTCTTCGGGTTCTAAGTTCTTTTTGGACTTCTCGTCCTCGCGAATCATCGTAATATCCTTCATCAGCTAAATCTGCTTAATGTCTAGTATACATATGAAAATTAGCTGCTGCCATTTTTTGGTCTTCCTATGATTGAGAAGTAAATATGATTAGGTAGCCTATCAAGAGGGAGTTTGCAAATGCTTTTTCGTTCTCCTTTTTTCCGGTTACTTTTCTTTTTCTTCTTCTTTTTTGCTTGCTTTGTTGATTGTGCATTTTTGTATTTCCGTTGCAACTCTGTAGAACTTATTATGTAAATTTACATACATCCAAGTCTTCTCATTTTGGGGGTCTTTATGAATTAGCATACTTGCTGGTTTCTGCCTGCTTCTGATTACACGAGTCTTGAGATGCTCTTAAGTGCAACTAAATTTTTAGTTTATTTCATTATTTTTCTTATACGGTTGGCTGGTTCATGATATGTTTGTTTTTCGTATGGTCGATTACTTGAGGTCGAAGAAATTATGGATGAAAAGGGGGAAAAAAATCAACATTCTGTTGGCACCACTCGAAGATGCAAAATATTGAACTACATAACACGAAACAATAAAAAATTATCACGCGGCTGGCAGTACTTGACGATGCACACACATAACAAAAGCGGACGATAAATAATCTGTTCTAATATGAATCATGCCATAAACTACTGTAATTGTACAGAACTCACATTATTCTTTAAAAACACATTCTTTCCCCATTATTTCTCAGTAGGACCAGAAGTTAGTCTGGAGTTCTGAAAATAAGCTGCTTTTTTTAGGTTGATCTCCTGAGGACTTAAACATCATCACTTTCTCACAACTTAGACATGGCATAATCTAGAGCAAGTAGGAAAAGAAGTCAGTCTGGAGTTTTTTGGTATAAATTCTTTTCACTTCTGAAAATAAGCTGCTTTTTTTAGGTTGATCTCCTGAGGACTTAAACATCATCACTTTCTCACAACTTAGACATGGCATAGTCTAGAGCATCAACCAGGAAATCTGCACAAGAAGAATCAATGAGACTATGAAAACATATGGAGATCTAAATGCTTTAAACTATATACAAATTGCCTTGACAGTACAGAAAAGACTAAAGAGTGAAGTTTCTGAAAATACAAGTTACAGAGAATACCTGCATCATCTTTGGTGAAACACATTGGAGGCTTTATTCTGAAAACATTTCCATGAAGTCCACCTTTCCCGACAAGAACACCGAGTTCTACATAAAAGAAAAAACTCAAGTATAACAGCTGAATTACGTAGGAAATGTAAATTTTAAGTTTGTAGTTCTTCCTCAGTCGAGTTTTGACTTGTTTTACGAACCTCTAAGCTTTTCAAACAATACTCCTGTTTCTGCCTTGGCAGGCGTCTTTTCTTTTCTGTCTGTAACGAGTTCTACTCCCACCATTAAGCCCCTTCCTCTCACATCTCCAATTACTGAGTAAGAAATTGGAAGAATATTAGTCAACAGTTACTAATCAGAGAAAATGTAATGATTTTGGAACATTTTCAGCAATGAGAATCACTAATCAGAAAATCAAAGAGAGATCTACTCTTCTAGATTGGTTGTTTCTTCTTCTTGGGATTTGGAAACCAGTAAACAAAACTACACAATAGGGTAATTTTCTTTTCTTCGTAGGTAGTCACATAAATTTCTATGTAACCATGTCATGATGACAAGATTATCATCCAACTCCAAAAGTCGTGAGAACTTGTAATGTTGGCTTGTGTGTGAAAAGTTCGCCTCCAAATTACTTGCAAGATAGAATAGTCACTAGTGTTCCGTTAATAAATAGGTAAAGCAGCTAATTTGCTAATTATTGCATAAATTGGCTCATCCAGCGACCAAATATGTCATTTAGTTCTATTGAAACAGGAGCCAAAAGGATCAGTTTACTGAAGAATAAGAATATAATTTGCCAGAGTCACACTCTAAGCAAAGAGAAGGTCAGTGTGAGCTACAGTCTATATGGTTAATCTTATTTGTGAACATTTAGACGAAGCAAAGGTTTAAAAAATCTAAACTCGTAAAAGGTAAATATGAAAAAGTTGTGAATGTAATTTAAACCTCACTTTTTCAATCAAATTCAGTTATATATTAATAAAAGCTAATAGCTGAACAAAAGAACATAAAATTTCTGAAGGAAATATCACATAAAGCAAGTAAATGATGAATTTATAAGATGCTCTGGTGAAGAAAATTACTATCATGCTTTTTCTGGAGATCGTTTAGACGCTGGATCACGTGAGAACCAACCTCGGCACTATGCTTTTGGCGCTGCTCTTTATCAAGAACCCTGAGAACTGCAAGTCCACCAGCCGAGCATACAGGGTTGCCTCCAAAGGTGTTAAACTGTATTTTTTGAGCCAAAACACTGGCTATTTCGGGGGTTGTTACAACAGCCCCAAGGGGTAAACCGTTGCCAATACCCTGGGTATATAAATTCTCGTATCATGAGTTGTTCAGGACGTGGACAGTACATAGAAAGAACAAAGTCCAACCTAGCTGAAAAACAAAAGAACCTAACTATACGTATATGATACATTCAAATTAGTACCACGAACCTTAGCCATGGTAACAATATCAGGAACGACGCCCTGTGTCTCAAAACCCCAGTAATGACTTCCAGTGCGACCAAAGCCAGTTTGCACCTCGTCAGCAATGCAGACACCACCAGCTTTATGAACCATATCATAAACCAGCTTCAAGTATCCTGGGGCTAATTCAACAGCACCTCCAACTCCCTATAGTTGTCAATATGTAAGAATTGATGTTCAAAACCAGGAAGATAAATCAATTACTTGACATCTGGGATTACATGCAGCAGTTTGACCAGACTCCAGTTTCACACCATTAGAAAGGAAAGGAATCACCACAAACCTGAATTGTTTCAGCAATAAAACCAGCAATTTTTCCTGAAGTACCGTGATCAATGTGATCTTGTACGTCTTCAGCATAATGCCTGGCATCAGAACCGAAGACTCCACGGTATGGGTTGGGATTCAAAACATGATGAATTTCACCCTGCAAAATTTGAACGTAAGAGAGGATGAAGATAGATATAGCCCCAGTTTCTACCCCATTTTCTAGAACTCATTTTTACTCAAATTCATTTTCAATGCCTAGATACGTAATGGACAGGACCTGACATGTCATGGCACAAGAAGACCCTTTTGTAGTTTAAAGTATAAAATTGGGGCAAATTTAGATTATTAAAGCATTAGAGGGAGAAAGTGAATATTATGACATACAAAGTTGTGTGGTTTCATGCCAAATTTGTTATATATCTACCATGTGAACCCTTTAATAATTTTATTTTTTATTTTTTTATTTTTTTTTAACATTGCACAAAGTACGTCCCATATTTGTATTAATAAAACAAATAACTGGTCCTCAAATTCAAAAGATATTACTTGCAAAAATTCAAAATTGAAACTAAAATAGTGTAACTTCATTGGAAAACAAAAATGTATAAAAATAAAGAAATAATATATAAATGTGTAATTTTATACTATTTTAATTGATGTTCCCATGTCCTACTTTCTGGGAAAAAAAAATTATATGTCGGCTCGTCCATGTCTCGCATTGATATCTATGCTTCATAGGTTCAACTGATTTAAAAAATATATGCAGGGAAGATAAAAGATAAAAAAGGAAAAAAAGGGAATGAACTGGAAAAGAGAAGCTGAAAACTTAGAAAGAGAAATTAGAATCCAAACACTGAAGTGAGAAATTGGCGGTCCATCTAAAGACAAACCTGTGGGATTGGGTACTTCCATGTGTTAAGAGCTGTCAGTCCAATTGTACTAGAACTCCCTCCATGATATGCATTTCTTAATGCAATCATGCCAAGGTTGCCACTGTACAGTCGTGCCATCAACATAGCTAATTCATTTGCTTCTGTTCCTGAATTTACAAAAAACACAACCTGCAATCGAGAAGAATGAAGTTAAAGTATGTCATGGAAATTGTCCTATCAGAAATGCTCAACAGATCAGAAGACATAGGATGTCACTATAGTTAACCACATAGATCATTGTTTGATGAAAACTATAAAAAAGCTCTAAAAGAGCGAAATACTTTTAGGTTTCCAGGCATTTTAGATGCTAAAGCCTCGGCAAAATCAGCTATTGCATGGTGTAGATATATGGTTGTTGCATGCTGAAGAAGATTGTTTTGCTCTGTTATGGCATCCAAAATATCAGGATGGCAGTGACCACAAGAAACAGTTACTATTCCAGCAAATGCATCAAGATAACGCCTTCCACTCTCATCATACAGGTACTGCATTTTCCCTTCAACAATGTTGAGCTGTTCAAATAAAATATGTTAGGAATGTAGAGTATATATAATGCGACAGCGCAGAGAATGAACAGGAAGAAAAAGAAAAAATAAAGAAACCAATTGAGTTTAGAGGTGTAATTGAGCCATCACGAGTTGAGCTTGGAGTTGTTCAAGCTCAGGTTAATATTTGTTGAGAAATAGGCTTATCTACAAAGCTAAAATTTGTAGGTAACAAAAACAGTACTTCGCCATAATTAGATGACTTTTGCAAGCCTTCGCAGTCTATTTCAATTTTTGTTGTTTTTGGAAAGATTGTTTGCTAAATTGCGCAAAAAATGCCAGGCAAGACTGCACTGTATATACAGGTGCTTGTCCATTGCCAAAATATACCAAGATAGAGAGGAAATCATTAGTTAGCATTCAAGAAATTCTCTACTTCTCTTAGTGGTTTGTATTAAGAGTAAAGTAATACGGGCTTAAGAATACAGTCAAGCTCAGCTCGTGACAACTCCCAATCCAATCTTTTACAAGTTTTAGATGAGTCGATATTGAATGTAGGTAAGCTCCATTGGAGTTCTTGTATACCATCTGTCTGAACTTCACCAAACATGGTGGGTGCATTTTGTTGCAAGTTTTAGTCACATACATTATTTCAGAGTATATAACTTTCTAAGGTAAACAGAATATAATAATCCCAATTACAGATTTTAGAATACAATTTAGCTCATTGAGGCACACACCTACAAAAAATGAGAACTCAGAGCTATTCCAGCAAAAGCTAAAATATATCAACCCAAAGAAACTTAAGAAGTTAGTTCTCAAAAGTTGCAATTCAGCACAAACAATCATCATACAGCAAACAATTATCATATGCAATCATCAAGACAATTATTTGAAAAGTGCAAAATAATCTTAAAGGAAATTGAAACGCAAACTGAGAGAAACAGACAAAAGCAACACACAGCAAACTAAACTAAGCCTTATTTCCAATCAAAAAGTTCAACAAACTGGAGGAAAAAAAGGGTAATCAGAAATAATAATAATTTCATTCCCAATCCAAAAGTTAAAAATGATCCGTTTCCAATCAAATATTCGATCCATCCCAATATACGAGTAAAGAAAATAGACTTACGGGTTTTTGATAATAATAGAAAAGAGAAGGACCCAAATACTTCTTGCGCTTCTGGAGAACCTCATCCGCTAAGGGACCCTTGTACGGCTTCGGCTGGTAATCAAAACCCGGCAACTCCGGCTTGGCCATAGCCGAGAAGCCACGGCACAGGCCAGCATTATCAGACAACAACCACTTGGACTTCTTGAATGCTCCTGTAAAATTTCCAATCGAAAGATTTCTCTGCCACCCCATTAGCCCAATTTACACAAACGCTCTCACTACGTGAACGTGAGTTTGTATGTATGTATATATAAGTATATTGGTGCGGAGATGGAGAACTTCAAATGCAGAATTAGGTGGAACAAATTTTAAAGCTTATCGAGAGTGACAGTGATCACACTCACCACTGAGAAAAAGATTCCATCCCATGTTCTGTATTTGGAAGGATCTTTTAAATTATTTTACCCTCAATTCTAATACCGGCATATGCTCAACTAAAACTTCTGTGAATTTTAAAATATTATAAATCCTAATAAATTTCGTGGATTTGAATAAATTTTCACAAATTTCATAAGAATCTCATCAAATATGGTAAAATTTCAAAAAATTAATTATATGTATTTTTAATCTTGAAATCCATCCAAATCTTTTATAATATCTGTGTTAACGAAAGATTTGTAAATCAACTACCTACTTAAATTTCATTAAAATCTCAATTGAAGATACCTAAATTTTAATGAATTTGAATTTCATTAAAATAAACTAAATTCTCATTTGAGAACATCTCAATTTAGAAAGATTTATAAATGAACGTGTAAAAGTAAAATTCAAAAGGCCAATTTTCATTGTAAATTTTTCAATCAACCACACCTTAAATTCAACTTTTTTCAACGGCAAGAAAAAAATTATTGTAAAATAAACTATGATTTATAAAAAATTAACATCTTAGGAAATGTGTTACTTTGTTACATATTACAAATGAGAATGATTTAATTGTATATCAAGATGGATAGTTTAAACGTATATGGCAAAGATCATCTAAAACAATAAAATTGGCAAAAGTGGGAATTACCTAATCATAATTGTGTTACCTTTTTATTTGAAATTGCATAATAAACATAAATATTTCATTCAAATATAATTTATTTTTCTATTAATAGGCGCATAATAATTTTTTAAGGAAAAAAAAAATCCCTAATAATGTCATGGAATGATTTGTGGGATTATAGTACGAATCAAAATTGGAGGCTGTCTTTTGTAATCGAGGGGGTGGGGCTTTTGTTTGTATTTTGTAATAATAATGGAGATTGTCTCTATCAAAAAGATTCCACTTACAAGAGATTTTTGGTTTGTGACAGTGTTTTGCACGCCATTGCTTTTAATGTTGATTGTTTGGATAAGTTTTCAGTGTATATATTGTGTTTACAAGTTAAATCCAAAATAGACATTCTTTCATTATTGCTGTAGTCTTTAATTGAATTTTCAGATGATTAGTTCAATCTCGCTGACTGAAGATCTTTGTAATGGTAACACAATTTTGTATTATTCACTAATCAGAAATAGTACATCTAATATGTACCATTTACATAAATCCTCTAAGACCACAGCACCGAGTGAAGATCCTTTTAGGCTCAGACCAAAGACCCCATTTATAACATCACAGAGACACCAAATCTCAATCGCAAGCCCTCACCATCCCAAAGCTACAAAGTTACTTCAACAGGACACAAACTGAACAAACCACTTCGACACAAATCACTCACATAGAGAAGAATCACTCAAGGAATGAATATCACAGAGATGATTCTTCAGAATCTCACACAGAGAGGTCGAAGAAGAACAAAACCAAAAAACCCTTGTGAAGGTTTCAGAAACACGGCTCACAGAAGAGAGAAAAATGAAAATGACGACTTCCAACCCCAGGTCAAGAGAAAAGGGTATATTTATTGTAGAAATCATTAGCCATCAGATTAACGGGTCGATCAAAGGTCTCAGAGCAACTATGAGAATGGGCCGGTTATTGGGCTCGGTTAAGCGGGTCGCCTAGGTATCAAAGAGTGGATCAATCTGCTCTTTATCTGTTGGGCCTGGATTTTTATCATCATTGCCTATATTTTGGACTGATCATATTGGCATCACAGCCCAACATTTTGTTAGCTGAAAATTCCAATATGTTGTTTAATGGGACAACAAAGTTACGAAAATTAAGTTTCAATAACGTTATCAGATTTACACAACGATATGAGTTGACTTAACTAAGCTCTTGTTTGAAACCCATTTTTGAGTTAAAATGTGTTTTTAAATAATAATTTTTTTAAGAATGTGTAGTTAAAAAATAATAACAAATTTTAAATTTTGTAATAAAAGAAAGAGAAAAAAGAAGAAAGAATAAAAGTCAATAAACTTGAGTGTGTTCTACTTAGAATCAAAAATTCATGTTTATAGGGAATGATAAGGGATATAATGGTAATAAAAATTAGGGCTGTAAGGATATAATTGTCATTCACTAATCATATTATTTACAACACTCTCTTTGAATGACACATTACAAAACATCCACATAATTAAAATCTTGTTTGATAAAAATTCAATAACACAAAAATATCAAATGAAGGAAAAATGGTACAATTATTTTGGAATATTAAAAATAAATGTTGCTTATTAAAATCTTGTCAAGAGAATCCGATGGGATAAAACTTAAGAAAAGGAAAAAGAGTACAACTACTCCCTTAACGTTGATCACTAAAAAATTTTGAGTCGACGTATTCCAATCTCATGAACCAATTTTTTTGAATTAGATATCGATAGTGCTTTTGTGAATAAATCAGTTACATTGTCATTTGAGCGAATTTGTTGAACATCAATATTATCATTCTTCTCAAACTCATGTGTATGAGAGAATTTTAGAAAAATATGCTTTACCTCGTCCTTTGATATAACTTCCTTCGAGTTGTGCAATACAAACTACGCTATATTTCGTATAAAATTGTTGGACTATCTTTTGTTATTATCAAGATTTGTTTCATAGATATCCATAATGTAATTGTTCATTCATGTGTAAACACATATCCTGTTTACGATATAATTTTATGTGAATCAAAAAATTACCTGCATCTACATATATCACTAAGCCAAATCCCAACTTTTGAGAATATAATAATCACAAATTAGTAGTATCTTTCAGGTAACGAATAATATGTTTAACGTCATTTTAATGTCTTTGAGCTGGTATAAAACTATATCTTGCAAAGAGACTTACAAAAAAAGTTATGACGAGTCAAGTGCAATTTGCAAGATAGGTTAATATTCCAATTTTACTAAAATATGCTACTTTAGAACAAAGAACATTTTCTCCATACTTCAAGTAGACTATATATATATATATATATATATATATATATATATATATATCAAGTCAAGTGCAGTTTGCAAGATAGGTTAATATTCCAATTTTACTAAAATATGCTACTTTAGAACAAAGAACATTTTCTCCATACTTCAAGTAGACTCTATATATATATATATCAAGTCAAGTGCAGTTTGCAAGATAGGTTAATATTCCAATTTTACTAAAATATGCTACTTTAGAACAAAGAACATTTTCTCCATACTTCAAGTAGACTCTATATATATATATATCAAGTCAAGTGCAGTTTGCAAGATAGGTTAATATTCCAATTTTACTAAAATATGCTACTTTAGAACAAAGAACATTTTCTCCATACTTCAAGTAGACTCTATATATATATATATCAAGTCAAGTGCAGTTTGCAAGATAGGTTAATATTCCAATTTTACTAAAATATGCTACTTTAGAACAAAGAACATTTTCTCCATACTTCAAGTAGACTCTATATATATATATATCAAGTCAAGTGCAGTTTGCAAGATAGGTTAATATTCCAATTTTACTAAAATATGCTACTTTAGAACAAAGAACATTTTCTCCATACTTCAAGTAGACTCTATATATATATATATCAAGTCAAGTGCAGTTTGCAAGATAGGTTAATATTCCAATTTTACTAAAATATGCTACTTTAGAACAAAGAACATTTTCTCCATACTTCAAGTAGACTCTATATATATATATATCAAGTCAAGTGCAGTTTGCAAGATAGGTTAATATTCCAATTTTACTAAAATATGCTACTTTAGAACAAAGAACATTTTCTCCATACTTCAAGTAGACTCTATATATATATATATCAAGTCAAGTGCAGTTTGCAAGATAGGTTAATATTCCAATTTTACTAAAATATGCTACTTTAGAACAAAGAACATTTTCTCCATACTTCAAGTAGACTCTATATATATATATATCAAGTCAAGTGCAGTTTGCAAGATAGGTTAATATTCCAATTTTACTAAAATATGCTACTTTAGAACAAAGAACATTTTCTCCATACTTCAAGTAGACTCTATATATATATATATCAAGTCAAGTGCAGTTTGCAAGATAGGTTAATATTCCAATTTTACTAAAATATGCTACTTTAGAACAAAGAACATTTTCTCCATACTTCAAGTAGACTCTATATATATATATATCAAGTCAAGTGCAGTTTGCAAGATAGGTTAATATTCCAATTTTACTAAAATATGCTACTTTAGAACAAAGAACATTTTCTCCATACTTCAAGTAGACTCTATATATATATATATCAAGTCAAGTGCAGTTTGCAAGATAGGTTAATATTCCAATTTTACTAAAATATGCTACTTTAGAACAAAGAACATTTTCTCCATACTTCAAGTAGACTCTATATATATATATATCAAGTCAAGTGCAGTTTGCAAGATAGGTTAATATTCCAATTTTACTAAAATATGCTACTTTAGAACAAAGAACATTTTCTCCATACTTCAAGTAGACTCTATATATATATATATCAAGTCAAGTGCAGTTTGCAAGATAGGTTAATATTCCAATTTTACTAAAATATGCTACTTTAGAACAAAGAACATTTTCTCCATACTTCAAGTAGACTCTATATATATATATATCAAGTCAAGTGCAGTTTGCAAGATAGGTTAATATTCCAATTTTACTAAAATATGCTACTTTAGAACAAAGAACATTTTCTCCATACTTCAAGTAGACTCTATATATATATATATCAAGTCAAGTGCAGTTTGCAAGATAGGTTAATATTCCAATTTTACTAAAATATGCTACTTTAGAACAAAGAACATTTTCTCCATACTTCAAGTAGACTCTATATATATATATATCAAGTCAAGTGCAGTTTGCAAGATAGGTTAATATTCCAATTTTACTAAAATATGCTACTTTAGAACAAAGAACATTTTCTCCATACTTCAAGTAGACTCTATATATATATATATCAAGTCAAGTGCAGTTTGCAAGATAGGTTAATATTCCAATTTTACTAAAATATGCTACTTTAGAACAAAGAACATTTTCTCCATACTTCAAGTAGACTCTAT